TTAGTGGGGGTGCTCAAACTCTCGACACTGGTAGGGTGTGCACACTCTGCTGCAAAAATTATTGATATCGACTAAGTATTTGTAAATCACTCGACACCAGTGGGGTGCTTATATCGGCTTAATATGAAAATCTCATGGCTTAACTTGAGACCAAGTTGATCTTAAAGTTTTTTTTTTTTGAAAGATGTCCATCATTTTGTAAAGAGAAGGAATCATTGATGCAAACTTCTAAATCAAAATTGGTAGTAGTCACACAATGTCCCAAATCGGTGGAAATGCAAATGACATTCTATTCTTTAGTATGAAGGAGATTGTTTGATACATAAGGTAATACGCATTCATGCTCATTTGCTCGTGAGGATTGACATCATTATTGAATAGAGCTTCGTCTTGCAGCGTGCCAACTAATCCACATGAGTGGTCAATGGGTCATTGTCGATGTATGGACGATTGGCTTCTTCTTTGAATTTTCGAAAAACTTATCGTGGGTTGTGGTTGAAGTTTGGACAATTGGCTTATTCTTTGAATTTTCGACAAACTTCTCGTGAACATGGCAACTTGTCATTTCATTTCTTCATATATGGTTGACCTTCTTTTGGTGTCATCAAATTGCTTCTAGAATGAACTCCGTAACGAGCACAACCTTGGAACTTGTACTCAAAGGTTGACTTTATCCTTGTGAATGAGCAACTTTAGAGAATCCTTGACTTATCATGGTTAAATTGTGACATGTTGCTAATTGAGATGAGTGAATGATAGTCATGCTAAATGAGATGAATGTAAGATAGTCGTGTTAAATGGTACGATTGTGCGTATGAAAGATGATTTTTTTTTTGTGGATGCAAGAATGTTTGAACATTTACCATCATGATTGGTTTTAAACGAGTGAACAACGAACTAACGAAAGAATGCTAGTGTCACGGATTTTGATAAACTTTTGCATAGCATCTAACCACGACATTCATGTATAACCGATGAATCATATTTCATTACATCATAGACAAACATGAATCATAAACACGTCATCATATTCAAACCAACTTAGGGTTTTAAGCGGTTTAGCAACAAGGTCTAAGGTAGGTTTCATGATAAGTTGCGGTTTAGGTAGTTTCTAGGTAAACTATATGCTCGATAGGGATCTTAAGGAATAAGTCTCCCAAGTTGTACCACACTATCACCCTTTCGAGCTTTAGCATGATACCCCAAATCATCCTCGGATTTGAGTTCAACCTGGTTGGGAAGTTTTCGCATTTCCCCTACTATTGTAGGAGTCACACTACTTTCTTCCTTTTTTGCTATAAGGACCGCTCGGGAATAGAGCTTTATGCATGGATGCAAAAAATTGAAATACATAACAAATTTAAAGCGCAAATTGATGTAATAAACACATAACACCCATTATAAGAAAGTAGGAAAAAACTTATCGACGATTAATGTAGTTTGACTCTAGTATGTCCCCAGCGGAGTCGCCACTGTCGCAACCGCCCCTCCGGATCGGGGTACCCGTCGCGAACCGCTCGGAGTCGCCATCGACCTTACTGTGGTGGATCGAACACCTTTTTCCGGTTTTGTTATTTAGGTTAAAACCAGAAATCTGGTCTGCGAATTTTAGGTTTATGGGTTCGGGAGTAGGATTACGTGTGGGGAAGTGTATTCACACCCCACAACGCCCCAAATAGGTACTACGTAAATCGATAAGTTTTAATAATTGGATGTATTATTATTCGCGGCTTTATTGATGTATTTAATTGAGGGTTTTAATCGTTTTTAAATTAAATGTAAATTTTAGAGTCTCATAGGACGATGTGGTTAGTGTAAATTTGAATTTAAAGTTACCGATTTTCATGTCTATTGATGTAAAAAAGGTTTTTTTTGATTGATTGGACTCGAACCTATCGGTTGCCTACGTACCCGAGTTAACCGGGATCAAAGTCCACGTAGTTCGATTAATAAAGTTTTATATTTTGTAGAATTTTGATGTTTGTTTTAATCTTTTGAAGTTTTGATTTGAAAGTATTGGCTTAGAAGGAGATTTAATACGAGAAAATTTACCATAGTTATCGACCCTTGTATTTCATATTAAGGATCTCCACACAAAGTAAAATGGTGATCAATCATCTTTCAAAAGAATGTTAATCAATAGTTTTTTTAGAATAAACTTAAAGTGAGATAAATTAGAGGACTTGTCCGGTTGATTTAAGTTTTGTATATCGAGGGTTTAATGTTTATAAATTATGAGTAGTTAATATTTATACATGTAATTAACGATTAACCTACTGGTTTAACGTCTGATTGTAGCCATCAACTAGGCTGAGTTCTCTGGTTCGAACCTGGGGGAGTTTTTTTTTAGCCAATTTCGTTTTTAGCAGAAATCAAAACGAGGGTATTTTGGTAAATGACTAAAAACGAGGTCGAAAGGCCACGTAAAACCCTAGGGGTAAAATTGTTATTTAGCCTGTTTGGGTATATATTCGTTTTTAACAACAAAAATCTTAACCCTAAACCAATCTAATTGATCGGCCGCCTCTCACTTCACTCTCCCCCCTCATTTTCTCCCGCCTGTTCACCTCTTCTTCTTCCCCAGAAACACGAGCTATCAAAAAAAGATGAGCAAAACCCTAGCTCTTTCAATCGCCCCCAACCTTCTGCTTTCCCCTCTCAAAACTGACTTACAGTCTCCCAAATCGAACAAAACCTAAAAAAAAAGAATCCCCGTCGCCTCCCTCTCTCTCTTAAGTTCTGATGGAGACGAGGAAATGGAAAAGAGATTCAAGCGACGGCGAGCAAGGAGAGCTGACGGCGGTTGATGATGACGGGGACGAAGGTAAGGTCTTTTTGGCTTGCATGATGATTTAGTTTTTATTTGGAGTGAGGTTCGATTCTGGGCGAGGAGATTTTGATTCGGTTTTGTTCTTGTGGTATTTTTTTTGGGAAGTTTCGGACTGGATCGAGCGGAGAGGTGAAGGGAAAGTCGGCGGCTCTGGACTTCGACGGTGGTGGTGGGGTGCCAACGACAGCCGGCGACGTGGGCTACGCCGACGGGAAGAGGGCGCCATCGACAAGGATTATCTGGTAAGTTTTGTTTGGATGCATGTGAGTTTGGAAGGTTCGTTCTTGATGGGTTTTAAGTTCGATTCGGTTTCTGACTGATTTTCGGCGATGGAATGAGCATAAGGCAGATAGACCTTTCGGTAAGTTTTTTTTATGGTTTCTACTTTGTTTGAAAAGAAGGGGTTGTGTTTAGATGATTGGTAACTGATGAGGTTTTGATACTTTTAGAAATTGTGTTCGGGATAATGGTTGATATGAGATCTGGATTTTTGGATTGAAGGTCGTTTTTGGGTTTATCTGTGATTGCGGTTGAAGTGCTTTTGTGAATCTGGGAAGATTTTGAAACTGGACAAGTGGGTTTTATGATGTGGGTTTGAGTCTACAAAGTTTGTGTTGTTCATGGTGGGTTTGATTCTGAGAATCGGTGTATTGGTTTCAAAATTGGAAGTTTGATACTAATTGCGTGGGTTTGATTGTGTGAGAATAACCGGGTTTTGAGATTGAAATTATCTGTTCTGTATGATGGATTAACTGGGGAATTTAGCTTAGTGATGGTTAGGTGTATAGTCCAACATACAAAAAATAAGCAGAACGAGCAAAGAAATAGTAAATGATGAACAAATATAGATTTAAAGATCTAGTATTGTAGTAGGCTTAAACATGAAATATTTAAATCAAAGTACTGAGATAAATAGGGAAGTAAATATAATGAACCCATAAGGAAAAGCAATATATTTGATTTGTTGATTACTTTTGTTATTATAGTGAGAATTGCCGACTTGTAATTTGCTTGGTAGTAGATTGATTTGTTTGAGAAAAGCTTCACATGGTAGGAAGATGAGATGATTGATTATGTATGATAATGGTTGGGATTTGGATATTGACCTTTTATCGTGGTTGGAGGAGTGGCTGAAGCTGCTTTCGTCTTTCTGCTCCTCTTCTCCTACTGCTTTTCTTTTTTTGCATCGTTGTTGTATGTGTTTTTTTTGCAAGGAAAAAGTGGTGAAAAAGAACAAATAAAGAAGGTATAAGGGAATTTTTGTCTCCCTTCTTGTTCTCTGTATGGGTTTTCTGTTGGTTTTGGTTCTATCTGTTTGTTTTTCAGCTGAGAAGAACCAAGGAGGAAGTAGAGTTACTGATCGTGGGGAGGAAGAAGAAGGAAGCCTTCTGGAAGAGAAAGAAGATGAAGCTGTGTGTATTAGAATCAGGAAAAGAGAATTTTGTCTTCCCTTCTATTGCCTTTGTCAGAAAAGAGAAGAAGAATGTTGTACTGCTAGCTATGATTGCCGCCGCTCTGTCTTGGGACTCCCCCCAAAAACGAGAGACAAGAGGGCTTTTTATAGTAAAAATTTAGGTCAGCCATGGATTGGGTATGGTTGGACCATGTTGGTTCGGCTGGCCCATTGACCAGGTCTGTGGTTCGACCAGTTGGCTTGATATGGGCTGGGTTTGGACTGTTGACCATTATGGGCTTTGAGTTGGGCTCAAAGGCTTTTATTGTTGAATTTTGTTTATCACTAATCTCTTTTAGTAATGGTAATTGTAATTTGTAATTATCATTATTTCACTTGGTAATCATAATGTAATTGTTATTAATAAAAGAAGTATTATTTTGTTATTATCTTTTCTTCGTCCAAAAGTCAAAGCCCAATGTCTTATCAATTCGATCAGTCAATTCCCGCGACCAACACAGTCGAGTAAGTATTCAACACAAAACTCACAACTTATCGCATCAAATTATCAATCAAGATTTGCTATTGCTTAATCTCATCGAGTTATGGCATACAAAACCCATTCTCAGCCCAACAAATACGTTTTAGGTTGAAGGCCATTTAAAATTCGCTATTGCAAATCTTAAACAAAAAGCAAAAATTATCTAATTAATATGTTTCAACCCGGACAAAAAGTGGTGTCTACATATACACAGTTTTTTATTTCACACAATTTTCCGAGATTTTTGCTATTGAAAACCGCCATGTTTGCCTTCTTCTCCAAAAAGAGCAGTCTGCTGCCCCAAATGATCCATTTTGTAATTTTCCTAAACTTAGGACGTATGTAAATTTGAGCTTAGACCTTAGTTATCTGATCCACGCAATAATTATTTTTAATTTACATAATTTTTCAAGGCCTGCAATATTTATTATAGATGTTTTTCAGAACATATGCGAAAAGATGAAAAATAAATCTAAAACTATCCTCCCTTAAAATTGAAAAACCTGCCATCTTTGAACATTTATCCCTAGTAAAAGTTGTATTGTGTGACAAAATTATCCAAAAAATTGTCTCGGTCGAATCATCGAGCGCAAAGTTACGATTATCCAAAATTTAGCAAAACCATAAAATGACCCATTTGGGGTAGCACGCGAACATATTTGGAGATGAAAGTTGTGCAACAGTTCGCTATTGGGAATATCTCTAAAGGTTATGTGAAATAAAAAATTGCATCGAGCGGATAATTGAACACAAAGTTACAACATTCTGAACTTTCGATTAATATTAGGTGTGACGGTGCCTCCAAATATTTTGGAGCTAGATCGCTGGAGTCTGAATCGATTTAGCTAAATCGCATCTGTAAGGAGGAATTTGAGTAAAATCGCTTTTGTCTCGAGCGATCTGCACCAAAGTCGTAGAATATTACATTAATAGAGTACTTTGACCGAAGTTTAAAAAATATTCATAATGTCCTAAACTTTACATTGTTTGTCTACTTTTGCACGATCCGTAGGTTAATCATAAGATGGACAGTGAACACTATTGACCGTTAGTGAGTTAACACATATTGCTGACAAGGATGTCATGGAGCCTGAAAATTAATAAATTATATAAATTTAAATTTTTAAATTTTTTTTAATTATTATTTGGGTTAATACCTTAGTTTGCCCTTTTATACACTTATGAACTATTTTAACTCGAATTTTCTAAAATTCCCATCATGTCAAAAATTGCTAACTATTTTGATAACTAGCATCGACACGTAGGTTGACCATCAAGTTGGATGACTTTAACCTAATGCCACATCAATTTAAAATATTAATAGAAATATAAAATTCAAATTTAAAATAAATTATGAAAATAAGCCAAAATAATTATTAAAATAGTAAATTATTTTGGAAAATAAACTCAAATTATTTTATTAATTTTGTCAACACTATTATTTTGGTGCTTGTTATAAGGATTAAAGGCAACAACCCCTTCGTGTACACCGACGACAAATGATGTTCCTTCAAGGTTCCACATATGACACTTTTATCCTAACGTGACGTCTCTCGAGAAAGAAAGAAAATCAGAGTAAGTTGTGTTGCTTCGTTGCCTCCACCTCTACGAGAATGATGTGACTACTTTGGGTATTGTTGTGCTTCTGAATTCATCGTCTCATCCTCAATTCTGCAATACATGCTTCTCTATTGCCACAATGACAATTGTTCTGGCCGCTTCTAGTGATCTTACGTGATAAAGGATGGTGCAAATGTTTTGATAGAGAGAGAGTAGATAAGGTGGATTTTTTTAAAATTTTAGTACAAATTTTTGCTTATTTCATAATTAAATGAGATGATAATTTATTAGTAAATTTGAATCTTAGATTTTATTACTTTTATGATGATATGACATTCGTTGAAAGTGGTCCACTTGAAGGTCAACCTATGGGTCGGGTTAAAGTGGTCCAAGTAGTTAGTAATTTTGGACATATGAGAATCGGTCTAATGGATTCCATTAGTATAAAGTTTAACCAAACTAAGGTTATCTGATCGATACAAAGTATTTTTTTTTGTCTTGAGAGGGTGGGCTTTGTTTCATTGTTTCTTTTCTTTTCCCCGTTTTTATATCCTAAATTTAGGGTCAACCACCAATTTGTTAAGCATTTACAAGTGAATTGGATTATCTTAGTTAGCATCATAGGGAATCTATTGATCGAATGCTCAATTTTCCTAGGAACTCATTTTTTGTTTGCTGCAGGGAGTAATAGAACGCTTCAGGATCTTGGTTTTGCAATCCTGAAGCTGTGGCAGAGAGTAACATAGCTAAAATTTCTATCAAGTAGGGAGTTCATAATACTTACAACAAGCAAATGGCAAATGAGCTTAAGGCAAGTTTTGGACCTGCTAACTTTATCTTTCTTTGAGCATACTGTCAGTTTTATCCTTCAACCACTTATACCGTTTCTTCTATTTTGCAGACCTCGTAACATGCAGCCTGCTCTCAAATGATTTTGGCAGCATCGAATTGCAACCATAAGCATACGGCTGGTTCCCAGGTGAGCTGATAATGAAAACATATTTCACTTTCCTGCTTAGTAGTCTCTCAATGGTTGCTTTAGTAGTGACTCGCTCTGACTATCACAATAAAATCCCACCTAATACCCAAGTATAAACCTTAGATGGGTGCAATATAGGGCAGTATGTTTAAATATCGACCCGGACCGGCCCATGTATCAATACTTTGACTGTTTGAAACATTATCTATCATATTAGTTTTTGGTGAAAACAAAGGTCTAAAACTAAATTACTTTGCAAAGGTAAAATAAATTTGACACTAATTAAGAAGACTTCACTCGGGTGTTGCTCCCCCTAGCTAACAATTACGTCTTGAAGAATCCAACGACCGTGTGTGGTTAGGGGGTTATAAACAGTAGAGAAGTCTAACAAGTAACCAAGGCTACCCTCTTAGTCTCTATGTTGAGGAAATGTGATATGATCCAAGCCGCTAATGCGACCCTCTCAACCTATCGACTAAGGAATGGTTAGACTTCACCCTTGAATTGAAGTTTGGACGATCACCCACAACCAAACCCTAAGTGCTAATACGAAATAGGAGGTTTGCCCTTAATTAACCTAGAATAGGAGGCAAGAAATGCCCAAGGAAAACCATCTCTAATAGAGCCTCTTAGGTTAAGGAGGGTTCTCTGTAAACTAGTATAGAGGCTTTGAATGCCCAAGAAAACCCAACTCCAATTGAGCCTCTTTGGATAAAGGAGGTTTCCTCTCTAAACTAGCATAGGAGGCATGCAATGCACAAGAACACCCATCTTTAATTGAGCCTCTTAACCTAAGGAGGTCTCCTCTCTAAGCTAGGTCAACAAAGCGCACACCATCATCATGAAAAATACCTATGCATTCACATTAAACACAACCACACACAAATCATTCAATTCTTACAAGCATTCACATAATTGTAGCTAGGGTTTACAAACACCCAAGTGAAAGAAGGGACTACTCCATGCTAGAAGAAGGGAAAACACAAGAGAGGGAAATGAAAACAATCAAGAAGATGAAAACCTTGATCCTTGTGTTGAAGAGATCCTCCTTTGGGGGAAGAATTCCCAAATCCTTGCTTGGAGATGAAAACCTAGCTTCTTCTCTTCATTGGTTCGTCCTTTCTCACTCTAAAATCTGAAGAAGAAGTTTCTCACACTAGGTCTCTCTCCCTCTTCTTTCTTTCAGCTGGCTCTTTAAACCGAGATCGAACCCAGTTCGCGGCCTGAGTTCACAGTCGTGAACATCAGAACGCGTCTGTGAACTTGGCGTCTGAACCAAAACGCACCACTTCACATCCTTGGGTTCACGGTCTGTGTCTTATGTTCACGGTCTCAGCGACTGTGAACAGTGCTGGCGTTAGTAACCTCAAAACCCTCTCTGGACGCTCCTTGGTTCATGGATTATGGCTCTAGTTCACGGTCCTGTAAGACCGTGAACTCCAATCGCAGACCGTGTACTACGACTGTCTCCTCCTCTTTGCCCGGTCTTTGCTCATTTCCTTCCAACTTTCGTCTCCGGGGTTGGTTTCACCTGTCAGGATATGAAACACACTAAAACACAAGAAACCTCACGTAAAACCACCCCTTTTGGAGTTCAATTGCAAGAAAAATCAAAGCAAAACGGGGGTAGAAAGTGTACAATTAGGCCCGAATCACTCCCCCACACTTAGACGTTTGCTTGTCCCCAAGCAAACCATTTCACACAAGGTAATATCTCAACCTAACAAAAATGCTTTGGGGACAAATCAAAGGATACAAAGTGGCGAATCTCAATGGCTATTGGCAATTAACACATGGACCATTGCAAGCAATACCGACATCCATGACAAACAAAATTCGAGGTCACCAGAAAAAGGGCAAACGAAAAGTTCTCACCTTTTTCATGAATCAATGTAAGTCTCAACAAGATCACTTATCAACCACAACTAACCATGTATAACATTCAAGTCTAAGGAACAAACGAATGGGCAACAAAGGTCCTCACCGGAGTATGATATGTCATGCAAAGCAAGAATGAATCACTCCTCTCTTGACCAGTGGGGTCGGGAACTTTTTGGTGCAAAGAATGTGCACAATCATCAAAATGTTATAGTTCACGGGACGGTTGTCATCACTAGCTTGTCCGGAGGTCTTAGACACAGGTTCAAATGATTGGCAATTGTCTTGGACATGGGGAAAATGCTTTTTGGGTGGTGACAAACACATGATGAGGTCCTACATCTTCACCCTAAACCCGAAGGTTCTATGGTTTCGACTACGAACCTTCCCTACAAGAAATGGTCACTAGCATCGGCCAAAAACCTTGCTTCTCCCTCCAAACAATCATCCATCATGAACTTCCTTTAAGCGCTCTTCCTCGGTCTACTCTTGCTGTCACATTTCGATTTGGTAGTGAAGAATTTCTAAAACAATGTGGTGGTTTCAATGGCTTGCGTGCCAAGAAACCCCACTTAGAGCATACTCTTTGAATCTTTTGTGGCACTCTCTGCTTTATTTACCCCGTTTTATTACCTCTTTTTCGATTCCTTTTTCGTTCTACTTTCCTTTTCTTTTTCTATTTAAGGAGGGTACTGGAGAGTTAAACACTTGCCACTTTACCTTTAACAACCAATGCTCTCTTTTAAGAATTCACTCCAACACTACTCTTTTCTCTTTCATTCCTAGCAAGAACCACACACAATCCTCCTATGCAGAACCTCAATGGAACTCAAAAGCGAGAGCTCTGGGACACAAGGACAAATCACGTTTAGACATGAAGAAAGGATTGGGGGGGGGGGGGTCGTTCTATCAAACACCATTAAGCTCACAAGCAAAAAGTTCCTACAAGAGAACGACCCCCGAAGTGACAAGGATCAAGGGGGTTGACTAGGGGATAAAGCATTTCGGGACAATCAACATTTGGGCGTGGACTAATCCTATGCCTCCATCATACTCACTAGTGACAACTGTGATGTTACCCGCCATGGTAAGAGGGATCTAAGCACACAAGAATAAAGCGAACGACTCAAAACTCACATGGCTACATAGTCACCCAATCATTCGTTCCAATTTCACAAAACACAATGCATGTCAATTATAATCAACAAGTAATCGAGTCAAGACATCCATTCATTTTTGAACACATGAGAACTAAACTTTTTCACTATCCTACTTCACCTCTCAGTCATCATCATAGGACATACTCGATCACATGCAACAATTCAAGGTCAATGCCAATAAACACGAGATTCTCCTACAAATCGACCACTTTGATCATGCAAACATTGCTTGGATCCCTCAAAATTTTCAAATTTGGGCATACATCAAGGGTCCAAGCATCAAACACACTCCCACAAGCATAAGAATAAACTACCCCCCCCCCCCCCCTTAAGTTCGACATTGCCCTCGATGGCGTAAGATAAGGGTAGAACGATGTTACCGCTTGGCTTGGTGAGTGAAAGTTGGAATTTTTCCGGGGTAGGAGAGATTAGCTTCAAGGAGAAGACAAAAAAAACACACACACACATGCACAACACATACTCGCTCGAGGCGAGGTTATTACACAACACAATACGATAGTAGTAGTTGTTCACACATACTAAATAAAAGAAAGAAAAATAAAATAACAGAGTTCAGAATTCCAAGTGGAGAAGTGGGGCGGAAGTAATCGGCTATGCCACATGTCTCACTTGTCGGCTACCTCTCACTAGGTCGAAGGCCCCGACTCATCATCTGGGAGAATGCCCTGGCGACGAGCGATCTACTTGAGCAGGTTGGTCTGCCGGTCAAGCTCGGAAGTGACGCCCACGAAGTGGATCTCTAGACGGTCCATCCTCTCCAATAGGGGCTCCCATGAAGTGGAAGGACCTGCACCAGATGGAGCTGGTGGTGGTGGTTGTACTAGGCGTTGGAGCGCTGGATGCCGACGACGGTCGGGAGCTCGAGCAGGTGGCTGCTCTAGAGGTGGAATCTCTGGAGGTAGAGGTCGTCCCTAAATAAATCGGAATGGTCCAAAGGATCCCAACAAGCGCATGGAACTCAAAGTGCCCTCTTTGAACCCCGTGGAATCCCCCTCATGTGAGCAACCTGCCAGATTAATATTCAAGTGACGGGCAAGACGGGTGATATAGGGCCCCATTGATGTTATATATCGTCGTTTTCCCCCTATGGCTCTGGCGAAAGAGGTGGCCAAGACTGAACCAAGATGAAGATTGCTAGACGGGTCCACTATGCAAGCAAACGCCAAAAAGATCCTCTCGGTTATCTTGTTTGGATTATTATAGCTCGAGTAGAGGGAACGGGCTAGGAGTGCATTGATAATGCGCCACAGTACTCCGGGAGGCAAAAGGATAGGGTGTGTCGCTTGCCTCCCAAGTGGAATGTCACCTTGCATTGCCGATCGCAGAGTGCTCTTGCTCGTTAGGACGGTGAAGGTACTGAAACATTTGACACACAACTCCCCATAAATGTCATCTTCCATTTCCAGGAGTCGGCGCCATTGTGGGTGCTCCACAGCCTCCCTCATAATGTCTCCAGAGTGAAGACCATCGAATTGAGTGAAGTCGAGTTTCCAGTGTTCTATGGAGTCAGTGCTCGTCCCCAATCACATCTCCCTCTCTGTTTTGGGGTTCCCTCTCAGTTCCAAAAGGTACGGGTGGTTCATGCTGACTTTCCTACAAAATCGACAAACATGCACCATACATGGAAATAATTGTCAATCTCAACTCATTGGGAGGAAAAAGGAATCCCCCCTACACTTATTTTTCCAGTATGGATCCATGGACCATGCTAATCAAAACAATTAAGCATAAGCACACCGGGGCATGATGATAAGTGTTCACGGATTATCCCACACAAAAATTCAAACCTGAACCATGCCACGGTGGCTACCAACCACCACTCAAGTAAAACATTTCTCATCATTCACAAATTAGCACTTGGTGGGCAAATTCAACAAATAAAAGCAATTGGAATCAAAACATGCCCACCAAGGCTCAACTAAGTTCAAGCAACATCATTCAATCATCCTAATTCACCTAATTCCTCGCCCTAACGGTAAGTTCAACATTCAATTCACTAAAATTATCCTCACTTTAGTACCTAATCCGATTCGCCCAAAATAAATAAGGTAGAGCTAAAAACTAACTTGAAGACTCAAGTAGGAAGGGTAGGGATGTGAGGAAAGGGTTAGGGAGGTGAAAAATGGGCCGAAAACAGACCGTAGGAGGTCGCCGGAGCTTCATCAGAAGCTCGTCGAAGCCACGCCGGAGCCTTGCCGCCGGCGACTTCACCGAAAGAAAAATGCTCCAAATTGCCTCAAAATCTCAGCGAAGGCCGCTTTTGATTAGGGGAGACTAGGTCTGGTCTTGGTTTTGGGTTTGGCTGGCCGGAAGTGGAGGAAATGAGCAAAAACCGTTTGATTTTCGCGGCTTTCCGGCGAGTTTTGAAAGATTACGACGAGATTTTGGGTCGTGAAGTGAAGAAGACCGTTCATGACCCTTTTATAGGAAGACCCTGTAGTTCACGTATGCATTTGCCAGTTCATGGTCTTTAAGACCGTGAACACTGCAATCCGTCCGTGAACACAGGCCAGTAGATGGGTTTGACACACGTGGAAGCACCCTGTTTCACGGACGCGTTTGCTTGTTCACGGTTAGGGCAATCCGTCCTTGAATACTAGTGAAAACAGGGCACTTCCAAAAAAATTTACTCGACCCACTCCACCGTGCCTACTATCATTCACGACACAACTCAAAACACGCAGTCACAAAACTTAGCATGGGGATACCACTCGACCACTTGAACTCTTCACTCGACACAAAAACAAAAATAAGGAAAAGAAAACAAACCTACATTGGGTTGCCTCCCAACAAGCTCTATGTTAACGTCACTAGCTTGACGTTGCAGATCTATCACGCCTTTGAACATGACGCCGCCGAGAGTGGATCCGTCACGTTCTCGGGGCGAGGCATGCCGCCTCCCAACTTGCTCTCCATGGTGTGGCTTCTCGGCCAATGACTTTTGTTTTGGCCTTTTCCTTCCATAGGGCATTATCATAACTTATCCTTTCCCTCCAAGCTCGTTTCCTTCCTTCTTTGGGAAAGATGTCCTCCTTGCTTTCCTGCTTCACTTCATCACAAGAACCAACAATAATACTGGGGTTTGCCTTGCAAGGCTCTCCTCCACTTACATTGATATCAGCCGGTTCCACTTCCTTCACATCCTCACTCCTAGGCTTAGGATCAATTCCAGGAGTAATTCTCTCATCACCATCTCTCAGGATCAAAGTTCCCTCATTTACATCAATTAAAGCCTTGGCGGTGGCAAGGAAAGGGCTTCTTAGTATTAGTGGCATCTCAAAATATCCTCACTTATATCCAGGATCACAAAATCCGTCTAATAACAAAAAATTTCCACTCATACTAGCACGTCCTCCACTATGCCCCTAGGACTAATGACAGAGCGATCGGCCAATGTGACACTAAGTCTCATAGTCTTTAGTTCACCTATATCTAGCCTCTTAAAATGCCATCACATTTATGCTCGTCCCTAAATCCGCCAAGGAGTTTTCGATGTGATGAGAACCGATGCAAAGAGGAATAGTGAAACTACCTGGATCGGGTTGCTTCTTGGGCAACCTGTTGAGGATGAAGGCTAAGCACTCCTCGCCTAGGGTGACATTTGCTAGTTCTTCGAACTTCAGCTTCTTGGAGAGACACCCCTTGAGGTATCTCGAATACCTTGGCATGTGGGCCATTGCTTTAAGGAAGGGAATGTTGAGGTGGAGCTTGCGGAGCATCTCCATGAAACCTTCACATTCTGCTTCCAATCTTTCCTTGTGAACCCTCGTGGGAAAAGGTAGGGGTGGCGAGTACTCAGCCACAGGTGGTGGCATTGGCAATGCCTTCCTCGCCACTCCTCTCTTTTCTCCCGATGTTTCTTCTTCATCGCCCTCGGGTAGAGGGTCTTCCTTGTCATTCATTTCTTTGGCAACAACCTCCGGAGTCACCTTCCAGCTCCTCAAATGGATTGCATTCACCTCGGCATGATCCTTGGGGTTGGCAATGGTTTGAGAGGGTAAAGCTCCCTTTGGTCTCTTGGTGAGGATCCCATCAAGATTGCTAATTTGCACTTCCAAGTTTTGGAGACTTGCTTGATGGCTCCGGAGTCTTGCCTCAACCGAGGTAAAATTGGAGGTACAAACAAAGCTCTAGTGTGAAGGAAGTGTTCATACACCGCAAGGTGGGTGCAACTAGCTAGGTATAAACTCCGTTAGTCGATCAATGAAGGAAAATTAACAAATAGAAGCTAGGGGAACTAGCTCTCTTAACCGTTAGGTTAAGGATTATGATTCATAGCTAGGGAACCTAGCCCTCTTCACCGATTAACCAAGGAGATCCCTAATTCTCTTAGTTAGCTAATTGAGATTCGTTGCAACAAGTTAGAAAGCTAACTCACTTAACCTTTCGGCTTAGGGTGACAACGATAGGCTAGGAAACCTAACCCTGTCGACTAGCCGACTAAGGATTGCAAACCAAACCCTTGGAACTTAATCCGGTCAGCAGAGAGACCAATCCCGGTGCAATCACGGCCCTACTCCAATACTTGAGATTTTGGTCTTAAATCAACCTAAAGGAGGTTACCCAAGTGGCTAAGAAGAAGTCTAGCTTCCTATTGGACCAAAAGGGGATTTCCACCCTCTAGGTCAATTTTACCCAATATTGAGTTAAAGCTAGCACACTCAATCATTCATGAATAATACCTCGAATATCATATAAAACACTCAATCAACACAATAGGTTCATGTTCTTACATCCTAACACATAGAGAGACTATGATTCACAATACCCAAGTGATTAGGTAGGCTATTCCATAGCTAGACAAGAGAAAACAAAAAAAGGGGAAGAAATAACCATGAAGTGATGCCAATCCTTCCTCCTTGTTGCTTGAGATACCCTTGAGATGAAGAAATCTTCAATCCTCTAGCTAGGAACAAGCCAAAAGCTCCTTCTTCCTCCTTTGATTTGCACTTTCTCACTCTAGAAGAAACCCTCACCTCTCAGTAAAATCCTCTTTATTCTGAAAAATGAAAACCTAACCTAAAATTAAAGCTCTCCCTCTTCTTCCATTAAGCTCTCCCTTTATACTGAGATCTAGCTAAGTTCACGGCCTTCCAGTTCACTACCGTGAACACCTAAACGCGTCCGTGAACTCAGTATCGTCTCCAAAACGCACCGCTTCACTCTCCAGGGTTCACGGTTTGCACTAAAAGTTCACAGTCTTAGAGACCGTGAACTGTCTGGTCGTCAGTAACCTTTGGAACCTCGCCGGACGCCTCGTTGTTCACGGTTTGTGGTTCCAGTTCATGGCCTTAGAGGCCGTGAAATCCAATGTCAGACCGTGAACTGCAGCTGATTCTTGGACGCCAACGCTTCACTGTGACGGGGCAATTGTCACGGTCTTTGGACTTTTCTTCGGTTTTTGCGCTTTTTGACCTCCAATCGTCCCGAACTCGTCCTCGGCCCTTCCATATGTGCTAGTACCTGAAATGTATCAAAACAAGCACAACCTAGAGTGAAATATGTCAAGGAACGATGAAATGCAAAGTCAAACTATCAAGAAATGAGGGGCAAAATGTGTACAATTGGACCCGAATCAATGAGTATGGAACTGTGACTATGGATATGAAAAGCCAATGTATATGGTTGTGGGTATGTAGACACCACATTTTGTCCGGAGCAACCGCTTTACTTAAAATGCAAAAGCTAAAAATCGAAGTGAAAGTTTGAATAGAATTGGTTGAGACTAGCAGCGGCAAGTCAATGAAATACCAATGAGTTCCAAATTCACTTTTGTTTAATTCTAATATTGATTTGATTGAGACTAGCCATAGCAAATCAATAAGTACCAACAATTATAAATAGGGTTAGGTATGGATTAGTGGTTGCTAATTTTGAACATCAAATGAGTAGCAAAATGTTTATGACGACTTCATTTGGCTAAAATGATCAAAGTTCTGACATTTGGAATTGGACACACAAATGTTTGACAAGATTGAGGTAACATACACTTCTTTCTTTGAATCTCTTTGCATCACATACATACCCTTTTGTAACTATCTAACACAACTATACTAGTCTTACAATGTGATCACAATGAAAGAAAAACAAAGTGTTGGAACCAAAGTAATTTCAAAAGTAGGGTCGTTGCTCGTCATTTTGGGACCAAAAGCCATGTTGAGTACCTGCAAAAAGAAAGGGAATAATTAGAACCTTGAACCCAACTCCAAATTAGAAGCCCACGTTCAGGGACCAAACTTACAATTCAGGCTTCACAATCGTCAGCCCAACACGGTCAACCAAAATCAATGGGTCAACTTTGGTCCACTTCGATCAACAAAAGTCAACTTTGGTCCTTATCCCATCCCAAAGGCCAGCTGTTACTTCTTGAAATGAGTGAAACGACTACCACTTCAAGGGCCAACCAACACTTGCCAACACAAATCAGATAGACAGCAGAAATTTCTACCGTCCTAGAGAAGTAGGAGGGCAGCTACCTCTCAAAGCCATCACACATATCAACACACCAAAAACAATTAACAATAGAGCAAATTAACATTACAAAAGGGGTACCTACAACAAAGGAAGGGGGGCGGCCATTTTTGAGAGGGTAATTTGAGATCGGTTACCAAAAAGAGAGGAAGAAAAAGAAAAGAAGAACACAAAGGAGCAGCAGCAAGCATAAGCTAAGAAAAAAACAGCAAACTTTGATCGATTGACGAAAAGAAGATAAGCAGCAAACAGGAAGCTGCAAGTGGGATGCGCCAAGCAGCCAATCAATCCGAAAATCAGCCTACAAAGTTACAGGTTGGTATTTCTCAAATCCAAACACGTTTAATATTTCGTCCTTCCGTGATGACAACCTGCATTCATCTCATCATAATAAGCATATCTGAGGTGTTCCCGATATATATGAAATTAAGTTTCTTAGCTGTAGATCTTAACATGTAATGTATCTTATAAATATGGTTGTTTGATTTCCTAATTCTGCTTCCACTCAAACCTTTTTTATTTGAAACCAACTTATGCTAACATATATATAACAGAACCTCACCAAATTGATCTACATATACTCTGATCCTTCCTAACCAGGAGAAATCCATTTCAACCCTACGGAATAAACATAAACCAACCAAAATCTATTACAAATCTTGGCTTTAAGGATATTTAGAAATACTTCTGTTTTATAGGGATCCCCTTTAAAATCCAATCTCAAATTTAAGATCAATCCCATAAGGTAATGATCGTGTTTAATAAGCAGCCAGTAAAGATGTAATGTAAAAAGCTTTTGAATCTTATCCAAATTCGAAATAAATAAATACCCTTTTCCAGAACCGAAGTTACAAGCAGAGGCTGTGATTTTTGGTCATCCTTAAATTGTCTAGAATTTCAAAATTAACAAAAATCTAATTGTTCTTCCTAACCCTCAGAATTCAACCCCAAACGCACTTTCCCTTTCAATCCGAAATCATTAGCGGTGGCTAAAATTTTAAGTAAGTTTTGAATCATTTTCAAGTTCAATCAAACGTATAGCTTTTCTTGGCAGCACGATAAGAACTTCGCTAGATAATCCCCACTAGAAGTTTAAACCCAATCAAGTAACAAGAATAGGCTTACCTATGTCTTCTCTTTTGACTGGCGTTACCCCTACTGCCGGTGAATTCCGAGCCTTCCTTCACCGCCGAAGACCACTGCCCAAACCCAAAAAAAAATCAAAAGCACAGGAAATATCGAGCCTAGGTCTATTAAAGAGAAAAAACAAATTGCATAGATCTACTCCTTCCCGTCGCCAGACTGTCGGGTCTCCTTCGCCGCCCATCTTCCCCTCGATCAACACCAGAGAGAACCCAAAACCCAAAACGGAAGGTTAGAATCCTAGAATAGCTCTTAAACCGAAACGATACAAAGATAACATGCAAGGGTAGAAGTCGCTTACCGCCGACGTGGGGAACTTCCGGATCATCTTCGTTTTGTGGTCTACAAAGGGGTTTCTGCTTGTCGTCACACTCCTGGGGATCTCGCTCGAGTTTCATCAGAAGGAGAGGGTAGGTAGGGTAGGCAGATCGAGGGATAGAAGAAGAGAAGCCGTCCTTTCCATCTCCCTCGTCGATTTCGAAAGAAAAGGCTAGGATTCTTCGATTTTTGACGGGTTTTCGTTTCTGGGCGAGAGAGGAGAGAACGAGAGGTTGAAGGCGGCCGATTTAGGGTTAGGACGCTGCAAAAATGATTTTATACCTCTAGAGTCTAAATGACATAATTGCCCCTAGGGTTTCGTTGCAATTACACACCCCTGCCACCGCGTTTTTGAATAATTACAAAACTACCCTCCCTCCGTCTCTTAAACAAAACGAGAATCTAAAAATAAATGCTGTTGGAGAGGTTTCGAACCCGCGTCCTCAGGGGCGAAGACGCTCCGATTGGTGACCAAGCCAGTTGGTCTGCTGGCCCATCATTTGTTACTTTGATCATCCCGCTTACTTTTCTTTATTTAAAGTTCTTAATACGAAATGTTGAACGCGGATTAAGTTTATCTTGCCTCTTTTCCAATACATCAAAATACTTCCCAATGACTAAAATCCTTGCAATAATCAATTTAAATTTTATTAACAAAGTTATAATACGATATTTACGTCTAGTGGGACGTGATAAAATTACACCCAAGACGATCAAAGTCAAGAACCACGATCGGTGGAACGTGGTTAAGATTTCATTTTAAATCATCAAAGTCACTAACGAACTACGTGGACTTTGATCCCGTCTAACGGGTACGTAGGCAACCGATAAGGTTCGAGTCCAATTAATCAACTAACTTTATCTTTAAATTTTTACGTCAGTGGGCGTATAATTAAATTACAACTAATATGATTAAATCATTAAATGGTCCAGCGGGACCCCTAAAATTACAAATTATTACTAAAATACACCCAACTCGTATAAAACTTATCGACTTAAGTAGTACCGATTTAGGGCGTTGTGGGGGTGTTGCTTAACTTCCCCACACGTAACCGTACTCCCGAACCCAGAACTTCATTTTCGCAGACCATATCTCGGTTCTGACCCTAAGGTTAGAGCCGATCCTAAGAGTGTTCGATCCACTCCAACTAAGATCGATGGCGACTCCCAAAAAAATGCCGACGCGACGACATACGGACCCCCCGGAGGGACGGTTGCGACAGGGTATATAAGCATGTCTATGGATGCTGAGACTCATATAAATTACGTTGCAGGGTTGAGTTGCAAGAACTGTTAGCCCATTATGCGAGTCATTCAGGTCAAAATTTTATTGAGTTAATTTTAGGAAATAATGTAACACCCGTGTCAAATTCCTCTGCGATTGTATGAACAATATGATTAGGCAAAACGTACAGGGTGGGGTATTAGAGTTTCATACAATAGGCCACATCTCCTTATATAGGAGTAGCAAAAATAACCCTAAAACTAGTGCAAAACGACACTTAAAAAGGTCCAAAATGAAATAGGAAAAAAACACAACAATAGCAGCTTGGCACCCAATCCCTGCTCACGTACACGCCCTTCCCCGATTGGGGATCTTGGTGTTCTCGACTGGGGGTTCTTATGGATGTGACCCCTAGTATGTTTCCTCAATCCCCGATCGGGGATTGTCCTCTATTGGCCGGGACATTGACTCCTTCATCCCAACTTGACATAGAACATGCCTCGACCTTGCTTCGACCTTCGAACAGCTCTACCTCCATCGTTGATCATTTCTTGGCCAAATAGACCCTCCACTTTACCTTCTCAAGCCTTTAGAGCCTTCATCTTTGGACCACGATTTTTATATGTTCTTCAAACTCGAGGGACGTTAGGTGAGGTGATTCGGTTCGCATCATTCCCTCCCTCTTCAAAAAGATTAGACCTCAAATTTCGTGGCTGCATATAAACTATCTCGTATGACTTCAGCACCCACGAACTAGAGTACGCACCTTGAATGCAAAGCTTCTCCATGAGCTCTTGAAGTCTTCGTTTTTCTCTAAGTTGAACCTCTTTTGCTGGTACATCATCTTCCACAACAAAGTTGTTGGATCAGTAATCTCACCATAATTTTGAATCTAAATTGACTTACCTCAAAGATTATCACCGTCATCTCCCATGCAAAGCTTCTCCATGAGCTCTTGAAGTCTTTGTTTTTCTCTAAGTTGAACCTCTTTTGCTGGTACATCATCGTCCACAACAAAGTTGTTGGATCAGTAATCTCACCATAATTTTGAATCTAAATTGACTTACCTCAAAGATGATCACTGTAATCTCCCATGAATATCTTCTCTTCGTGCCATCATTGATCTCTTGGACATCATATCCTTGTTGCCTCCTTCTCTGTTGCCTTTCAGTGAAGACCTCTCAAGAACCAAAGTATATTGGTCACTTACGTCAGCTCCCTAACCAGTATCAATGATAATTAATGATGGAAGGTAGACCATAATCTTCATAGAATTTCCCAGTTTTGTGATGAATTTGGGAAAAGTCCCAAATTTTAAATTCAGATGATCTTAGCTTACATTCGTTAATCCATTGCATGCCTCAGCTTGCTTCATCATCGAAGTGAACTGCCCGATCAGTTCCAAGCTTTAAATGTCTCTGAGAAGCAATGAATCCTCATTTGAAAATTTCCATCCATCATTAAATTCAATCCCGATGCCGGATTGTGGAATTCTTTCAAAGTTCTAGTCAATGGAGGAATTCAATCTTCTTCACTCTGCTCTGGAGATTCTCCTCGACTCATCGTCATGCCTTCGGCCTATATGAAGACGTTTGTGGTAATCTCATGCTTCGAATCACCCGCTTCTTCATCGACAATGCTACAAAGTTAACAACTCTGTTTTGTTGGAACAACACAGGGTTCGTGATGTAGACACCACATTTTTTCCGGGATAATCATTTGACTAAAAAAGAAAACTCATTGAATCATGGTACTACAGTTATATTTGAAAAGATAGCTTAAAGTTATTTGGTTGAGACTAGCAGTAGCAAGTCAATATGAACCAACGAGTACCAAGTATTTGGTCATAAGATCGAACTATTTGTTTGCAATGGCAAATCACAAACTACCTAAATTGTTGGCCTACAATTGCGTATAGTTGCGAATTTGTCACTTTAGCAGCCAAGAGATATCTAGAGGGTTTGGATTGTAGTTTGGCTCATGATGAATGTAAGTAATCGAATTTGATTAAGAGAACCAAGCTTTATTATCAAATGTTTGTCTAAACATACAAGAACAATGACATTTTATAATAAGAGCATAAATAATGATTAATAATACATGGATGGGGTGGTTCAAACAAATTACTACATTATTATACATTATACATACATAAAAGGCAGAATATACAAGTCTTCATTCTTCGATGGCACTAGTCAGATCTGGTGGCCCAGCTAGTCCTAACAGTTTGGGCTCCTTTGATCATCACTTCAAGCCCAAAACAAACTACAAGCCTGCAAAAGAAGAAGAAAGCAATCAGAACCCTCCCACCATTTCGGTCCACAATCAAGCCCATGTCAACTGACACTTAGTCAACCAGATTTCCCCTACCCATATCCCAACCGAAGGGGCAGCAGCAGGAATTGCCACCGTCCTAAGGAAGTAGGGGGCAGCTACCTCTCAAAAGACACTTATTAGTAATCACACATACCAACACACCAAAAACAATTAACAATAGAGCAAAATAACAATACAAAAGGGGTACCTACAAGCTACAACAAAGGAAAGGGGACGAAAATTCTGGGGGAGAGTGAAGAGTGATATGGAGGTCTATTAATCTGAGAGGGATAGAGGAGTCTGGTTTTTTGGTTCCAAAGGGGAGGATCAAAAGATAGTAAATAGAATCTTGAAGAAAGGAGGAGATTCAGAAGGGAACTTCAAGAACAAAGGCACAAACAACAAAGAGGTAATGACAAATCAGATTTCATCAAACACCAACCACCAAGAGGCCCTACCAGGTTGGTATTTCTTCAACCAAAACCAAAGTTACAAGCATATGTCACCCGTGTATACATAATCATTCAGCCCATACATCTAAAAACATAGTAGAAAACAAGAATAGACATGCTTTTATGCTACAACTGTATGTGAGTAGAGGATTGAGGCCATTTTTCATGATAGAGCTGTATGTATATGAATGATTGAAGCTAACTGCTGCAACTAGTTTCCTATCGCTTTCACTCGAAACTCTGAATCTTATTACGAATTTGCTAATCTAAGATTCAACAAAACCAAACCAGTTTGTTGCTTGCATTCAGATCCGATATATTTATGCCCATTTAATGGCATTTACTTGTGTTAGATTTGAATTATCTATGTTCTTTACTGCAAACATGTGTTAGATCTGACTTTACTATACCTTTGAATACATGTTTCTGCTCAAAGTAAACTAGACATTATAAGAAACGAGTTATGGCAAACTCAATTGATTTTAGATTCAGTAACATCAGTGGCTGTGACCAAGGCTATTGTAAGACACTTTCAATTAACAAACTTAACAAAAGCTTCTTATTTCTCCTTTTTAAAACTGTTGCCAAACCTAGCTGGAACAAGCAGATATTCGTATAATCGACAATAGGCTGCACCTAAATTGGAGTTCAAGCATCTACACTTAAAGCCAATCTCAGACTTAGATTAGAAATTTGTTTTTTTTACCCAAAGTCACGAGCAGTAGCTGTGAATATTGGTCTAAATCAATAATGAATCAAACAATTTAACTTAGTTTTAAAATCGAAATCATTGCTAGCTAGGGGCAGAATCACTTCATCTAAATCTCCATTGTCGTCCAACCTACACCAAAATAGAACAAAAGTTTCTTTTTCAATCCAAAATCATTACCAGTGGCTATTGTTTTGGTTATTCCAGAATCATTTAAGTTGTAGCATCTAACAAAGCAGGTAATTTCTTGACTATTATAAAAATGGATAGATAATCCCAGTAGGGAATTCGGACTCAAACCTTTAAGGTCACACCAGCCGAACAATACAAAACTAACCTTGGACGACCTAACTGATCGAAAAACCCAGCCTGGAAACCATGAGTTTAGAGATACGTCATCTAGATCTATCCGCTTCTAAAACCTACATCAAAACAAAAGTAGAGGTCAGAATCGATTGAGGAGATTAAACCAAAAATAAAATCACTGAAATTCAAATCTCACATGTCGTCGCCGTCGTCAAAACATCACCGGTGGAGCCTTGCCGTCGGAGACCCTAGCCGCTGAAGGTTCCCTCACTCTCCCCTCCTCGAATCCAAAAGATAACCAAAAGAAAAACCAAAATGAGAAGGTCAGAAACGAATTCAAACCAAAAATCGTCAAATAAACGCACATGCAAGCCAAATCATACCTCAATAGACACGATTTCGTTCAATTTGAGGCTCTTAGGTCGCGTTTCGAGGCCGGCGATGAGCCAAAGGAGAAGCTTCGAGGGAGTTTCTTCTGATATCGGGTCGTTTTTCTAGTGGTGGCTCGAGGAGAGGAGTCGTTTTTACCAGAAAAGAACGAAAGATAGAGACGCAGGGGAAAACGAGAGCGAGGAGGAGAAGAGGAGGTGTGGCGGTTCCAGCCTAGAAACCAGATGGTTTCTGGTTTTTGGTTCGGCGGAGAAGCAAACGAAAGTGAAGCAGAGAGGAAGAATCGAGAGAGAGAGAGAGTGAGTGAGAGGCGGCTGTTTTGAGTCGTCTAGGGTTTCTACGAAGGAAATTTATACTGGACTCGCTAAAGACTAAAATGCCCTCCTCGAGTCTGTAAAAAAAAGAAGGAAAAACAGAGGTAGTGAGTGGGGGTCAAACCCGCTACCTTCTCGTGCGAAACAAACTCCAGGGAGTTTACCAGTTGGGCTGCTGGCCCATCATGCATTAATGTAACCATCCCGTTTGATTATATTTGTTTAAAGCCCTTAATACGAAATGTTGAATGCAGATTAAGTTCCTCTTGTTTCTTTTATAATACGTCAAAAATACTTCCTAATAACTAAAATCCTTGCATTTTTTTGTCATAATCTCATAATCATCTAAATGAAGTTTTATTAACAAAATTATAATAGGAAAATTACGTTCAGTGGAACGTGGTAAAAGTCATACAATTAAACTATCAAAGTTACAACGAACTACGTGGACTTTGATCCCGTCTAACGGGTACGTAGGCAACCGATAAGGTTCGAGTCCAACTAACCAATTAATTCCATTTTTAATTTTTACGTCAGTGGGCGTATGATTAAATTACAATTAATACGATTTAATTTCTTTAGTGGTCTGGTAAGGCCCCTAAAATACCTAAAATACCTAATAATAAACTAATACGATAAAATCATTAAATGGTCCAGTGGGACCCTAAAATTACAAAAATATTACTAAAAATACACCCAACACATATAAAAACTTATCGACTTAAGTAGTACCGATTTAGGGCGTTGTGGGGTGTGATTTCACTTCCCCGCACGTAATCGTACTCCCGAACCCAAATCTTTTAACCGCAGACCATATCTCGGTTCTGACACTAAGGTTAGAGCCGATTCGAAGAGTGTTCGATCCACTCCAAGTAAGATCGATGGCGACTCCCAAAAACGCCGACGCGACGACTTCGGACCCCCGGAGGGACGGCTGCGACACTTGAAACCCCATTGGTTTCGACACGGTCTCTTCTTTCTGGAGCGCCATCGTCAAGGTAGCCAATGTCTCTTGCATATCCTTCCAAAGACTAGTGTTGACTAGCTTCTTTCTCCTTTCGACATACTCATTCAATTACGCTATATATTTTGGATCAATCATGGATTGATTTCTTCGAAACTCCTTCGCCATTGCAGGTATAGAATTTTCTGCAGCACAACCAACCTTCAGGAAACTTTATAATACGCTCCAGATCTGTAAGTTCTTCTCTTCTTGCATTATGAACTGGGCTCTGATACCACCTAGTATGAGTCGGGTTCAAGGGACTCAAACTCTCTCAACAATCAGAATACACATCACTCCAATTTTGTGGTTTTCTTCAAGAACATGAAAAGTAAAGAGAACGCGGAAACCGGTCAAATATATTGGTTTAGACTTTTTTACTCATCCTTTAAGTTTGTTTAAGACTAATCAACTCTATTTTAAATTTATGATTTACTGTGTTATCACGTGTGTAGTACTTATAATATTATTATTTATATACGACGGTTTTTTTTAAATCTAACACAGATTCACACAAGAAAAGTCAAACACTAATTAGACCAATAAAGTGTGAACCGTTCACTATACCGATTCATACCCGGCTCAGTTGTAACATAAATTGTCAATCCAATTTAATTTGTTGACCCGATCAAGCAAGTGGATTGAGAGTTAATGGTTGTTTATAAATTGATATTTTACTTGACTCATTAGCTAAACTCATTAACCCATATATATATATATATATATAGATTATATAAGTCTCATCTAAAAAATATATAATGTATAATAATTTGTGCTGGAATATAATGTATAATAAAATTAACATATATAAAGTCAACCTGTAAAATTGATTTTCAATATTAATCATAAATTTTCCAATTAAAAATTAAAGTATCCAATTCAAATTTAAAAACTAAATTACTCAATTGGTATGTTTTCCCCACCACTCATTAATTCCCAACCGTCCGTTTTTACACCCACTCGCACAATCTGAATCAATACTCGTCCCAAGAAGGAAATTTGTTTTTATTCATCCAAGAAGGAAACTCAAAGGACAGGGCTGAGCGAAGAAGGGCCCGAAACCCTAGCCTTTCCTTCTAATAAATAATATATTCAAACTCCTAACCCTACAAATTTCATCCCTCACCGTATCTCCAAAATTCACCTATCTCAAAACCCTTCCCACTCCCAATTTCAATTCGAAAAAATGGCGAAGAAGCGCCCAGTGGAGGAGAACCCGCCGCCGCAGAAGTCAGAGGAGGAAGAAGAAGACGAGGAGGGAAGCGAAGAGGGAAACGAAGAGGAAAGCGAATCCTCCGATGACAACAACACGTCCTCTGCTGCTGCTGCTGCCAATCAGGGTAAGCATGCATCGAACTCTTCCGACTCCGAGCCGGAATCCAGTTCGGATCGGTCTTCTCCTTCTGCTTCCGCCTTTCAGGTGAAGCCCGTCACGCCCACCATGATCAAGAAGCCCACCCTCGCGGCCTCAATCGATTCCGAAGCTGCGGCCGGCAAGAAGAAATCTGCTGGCATCAGTGGCGGGAATGAAGAAGAAGAAGAAGAAGAAGAAGAAGAAGAAGAAGAAGAAGAAGAAAAAGAAGAAGAACAAGGGGAGGACATGAGGAAAGGCACCCAGGGCCGTTGGAGCGAGAGCGACGAGATTGCGCTCCTTAACGGAATGATCCGGTACAAATCTGAAAGGGGTTCCGATCCCTCTTCTGACATGGACGCTTTTCTCGATTACATCCAGAAATCGCTCCAGCACAATGTCTCCAAGACCGCCCTGGTGACCAAAGTGAGGAGGTTGAAGGTCAAGTATCTGAGCAAGGACGATGGTGATTCCCCTGTGTTCTCTAAGCCACATGAACAGAAATCTCTTAAGCTGGCTAGGAAGATCTGGGGGCCTGAGAGTCAGAAGAGTAGTAAGAAGAGCAAGATTGGTCCTCGTGTTGGGGTTACCCTAGCTTTGCCTAAGCATCAACCTAGTGGCAGCCTTGCCCCCAGTGCCAAGAAGCCTAGGAGGGTCTCAAACAACAGCCGCCCGGAGAATGGAGAAGCCAAAAGGGTTGCTGCCCAGGTTGAACAAGGAAAAGAAGTCAAGGAAGGAGAGATGGAAGAGGAGGAGAAGAAGAAGTTGTGTGAGAAGTATCCTTCTGTAATAGCATCCATGACAGGGCAATCAGTTGAGGAGAAAGTGAGAAAGGTTTTTATGAATGAGGTCGGAAATATTGATGAGGCAAAACTGAAGGTTTGGGAGTCTGGGTGGAATCAGCTGAAAAGGGCTCAGTTGCAGCTATTCGTGCAGCAGAAGTCGTTGCAAGTTGAACAAGTGAGAGAGTTACTGGATGTGTGCAGGTCTGGATGAGAGGGTATATGTTTATGTGCAGGTGTGGTGAAAGCAGGGAAGGGGTTGGGTTTTCTTTTGGGGAGCTAGGAAGCTGAATTCTATCAGGGCAGGGGGTTTTCTTTTGGGGAGCTAGGAAGTAGAATTCTACCAGGTTTTCTTTTTTGCAGCAGCTTCCTTTGTTATGCATGCTATGTGCTTTTGTCAGAATTGGAGCAAGTTGGTTAATGGTGATACTATTAGTATAGGAGGATTTTGTCAATTGTGGTTGTCTTCAATCCAATTGTTCGGTTTGTGCTAGCATGGAATGCTTCTTGTGTGCTTTGTAATTAAGTTTCGGTATAGTTTTCGTTAGCCTTCACTTCACTTCACTTATGGAGGAGAAAGTTTCAAGGTCTTTAGGCGAAGAGCAAGAAAGAAGAGATCAATTCACGATACCATGGAAGTGAAGGCTACTATTGCCATGATCAAAACCACGTTGTAGGTTACAGTTGTGTGTGCACAAAGCAAAGATATATAAATTGTGACGAACCCCCTCTAAACTCTGTTATGTACCCTTTCATTGTTGTAGTATAAATTGAACATCAACGAACCAAGTAGCCCATTCAAAAGCATCAAATCCCAAGCTACTTGAAGAAGACCTTGATCATCACCATGGCTAATTCCTTCAAATCCCAAGCTACTTGATAAAACTGATGCTCTATGTTTATCTCTCAGCTCTACCAATCTAGCTTCAGGTATAGCCAAAAAACCCAACGCAAGCAGTTCCAACAAGCTGGCTGCTGTCAAATGTTGATCCTGCTAGGGAGTGAAATAAAGTAACTGCATCCCCAGCATCTTTTGTTGTAAGCAACGCCGGACCCTACGAAACAATGGCATATACTTGCTTGCTTTCCAAAAACACGAGAAGATAACTGTGAGGTCAAAATCTAAAGAGTACCATATAGTCATACAGTTTCATTCAAATAGAAGAACATCCCAAATTCTCATAACTGAAGACAGTGGCAAATTCGGATGAGAATTAGGGGCCATACGCCAAATTAGCAGAAGTTAATGGCTAATTCTTTAGCGCATCTTATTTTTCCAAATGAATTTTTAGTTAGTGATTGAAACCATGAACATGAAAATTACCACTTTCCCAAGGAAGCATGATTATGAAAATACAAAGGAACCAAGGTCCAGAAACCTGCAGTCCCAAGAACTAACCGAATCTAGGAAAAATGTCATGCATCAGCTCTTCAAAAACAAGCTGGTCCACCTGTTTGGCGTGCAATGCTATATTATTGCCAAAGAAACAGGAAAACATACTAGAACAAAAAAAAAACAAAAAAGACTAATTTCTGAAGAAACTAACCACCACACCTGTGATTCAATCATTTCCTCAGTATAGTAGCCATCAAAATAGTCATCAATAATTCCCACTAAAGTCCTGAGCAATAGAAACAATTCAGCTAGCTGGCTGGCCACTAAAAGGAAATAGTGATCTAAACTCTTGTTTATTTCATGACTGAAATAAATGCAGACGCTTTTGAGAGAGCAGTGAACAATGTAATTCAATTGCAGGTACAGCATGGTCTTATACTTAAGATACTTGAAACAAAATTTCCTGCACGCATCTTTTGGAATTGGGGCCATTAAGAAATTTTTTGACAGAGATGAGATGCTCAAACCTGCCAACACGGATTTTCCTCCCGCATCATCAATAGCAACAAGCCCGCAAAAGAATTGATAGCCTGCATTATTCATGCAAAAAGGAAAGAACAAAATCACCATACCAGTTTGGAACTACAGAAGCTTCAAATATGTACTGAGGAACTAAAGGATTAATGATGGCAGACAAGCAAATTAGATCCTATGAGAAGTCTAGCCATGATTCTCAGTTGATGAAGTTTACAAGTATCCATGCCAAGTATTAGTCATGTCAAGACATTTATTGCAGCTCTCACCTCACAATATCCAACAGTAGGGTTATGCCGAACATACACTATAAGTATCCGTCTCAAAGAATCCCTACCATGCTAGCTCATCCAAAGCTGGATGACTAGGAAATATTCTTGGTATATCCTGCACTAGAAACGTAAAATTAATTCTAGGGAGAAACCTAGATACCAATCCAACCCAAAAGAAGCAGCACCTACAAATTTAAGAGATTGATCAATAAAGTCCAAGGCAGCGTGCATCTAATGACCTTCTCAATCCTGCTTCTAATCCTCCCTTTCAACTCTGCCCTCATTAACCTTGTCATCCACAGGATCCTTAACATTTGACTCCTCCTCAACACCATCATCTGGTTCTTCTTCTTCTAAGGAGTCATCAGTCTTCTATCACCGGAAGTTGGTCTTGTCCATTTCTGTGCCCCTTATTGTCCTTTACATGGTGTTGCTTGCGAACACGTGAACTCATTAGCTTCTCTATAACCTTTAGAGTGGTCTAATTTGGGACTTTACCAGCCTTTGATGTTTTTGAAAGATCCTTCTTTACACCTTCCTCAGAAACATGTAACTCTTCCTGGTGTTTTTTATGGTACTTCCAAGGGCTTCACCTCCTCTTGTGGCAACTTCACTGACTGTTCCCTTGTTTCCTGCAGCTTTACCTCAGGACCCTTGACCTCCTCTTGAGGTCCCTCTGCATACTGCACTTGTTTCTCACTTTCTCCGAAAATCGGAGGCCCTTGGGTTGATTTCTTTGAAAGTGTTTGCTCCTTTACAGCCTGTTTGGAGAGGCTAAAATTTTAGGAAATGAAATTCCATTTCTCAAACTTTTCATGAATTCTCATGTGTGAGTGAAATAAATAGGAAATAGAATTCCAAGAGGTAAGAAGTTAGAAATTCTAAATTCTATCAAAAGTTATCGGAATTGGTTGGGAGAGTAATGGAAATAGTGGACCCCACTCAAATTTTGACTCACCTTTACAGGACAGCCCTAACTAATTTTCCGTTATTCCAAAACTACCCATGAAATAGGGTTAAAGGCCTTCGCCTGCCCATCCTACTAGCTCAAGTTGTTCATTTTTTAATCTCCCTGGTCCCTGCAACTTCTCTGTCCCACTTTCCGCTGAGCTCTACAGACTCAGGTGAGCAACCTTGTTCACTCGTTTTGGATTTTTTAACCCCATTTATTCGTCACGTAGCCCATCACTTTCATTGCTTCGTTTATGGCTTTTCTTTGCCCCCAAAATTTACACTTTGTGGATTCACAGTGCAAGCTTTTGTCATCTTTTGTTTGGCTAGTTGCTTTGTTCCTATTTTGTTTATTATGTTTGCTTATTCGTGTAGGAAACATGAGAGATATGGAAAGTAAACGTATAGCAGCTGTAACAGCTTATGTTGCTTATCTTTTCATATTAGTTCGTATCTACAACCTGTTCGTAGTCATATAGAAATGCCTATTAGAAATCGCGCTATAGTAAGGCGAGAACTTGCTCGAAATGAAATTATGTTGGAACTCATGAATGAAACACGATGTCGTAAAAATTTACGGATGGCACCTCATGCATTTCACAATCTTTGTGAGTTACTTCGAGGAACGCGGCTTATTAGGGACACCTGCTATAGTTGTGTTGAAGAGCAAGTTGCTAAATTTCTTCACGTCGTCTCACATGGTATTCGAAGTTCATTGGCCACACTTCTTTATCGTCGTTCAAGTGAAACAGTTAGCCGTAATTTTCATCAAGTGCTTAGAGCAATCATTTCGCTCCATGATCACTTCTTGATACAACCTGATGGTCAAACTGTGCCCTCTGAAATTCAAAATAGCTCCAGATTTTACCCATACTTTCAGGTTAGTTTTTCTCTTGTTCAATTTGGTGTAAATAGTGCAAACATTTTGGTATGAACTTACTTAACAAGATATTTATGTTTTTTAGAATTGTATTGGTGCTATATATGGAACTCACATTCGTACAAAGGTGGACAAAACCGATGTATCAAGATATAGAGGAAGAAAACTCTTTCCAACAATGAATGCTTTGGCAGCTTGCACTTTTGACCTAAAGTTTACATATGTCTTGACCGGATGGGAAGGTTCTGCATCTGACTCAAGGATTTTAGATGATGCTTTGGTTAGAGATGATAGGTTAAAAGTTCCTGAAGGTATTAAAAGTACTTTTACATTGTTATATTACTGATCAATAAAAGCTTTTAAAAAAGAAGTTTAATTTCCCTTCTTTTCGTATAGGTAAATATTACTTAGTTGATGCGGGATACATGTTAAGGTTGGGTTTTATCACTCCATATAGGAATACTCGTTACCATTTGAAGGAGTACTCACGTCATCCGCCTATGAATTCAAAGGAACTATTCAATTTGAGACATTCAAGTCTACGTAATTCAGTTGAAAGGGCTTTTGGAGTTTTGAAGGATAGATTTCCTATTGTTGGTAGTGGTGAGAAGCCACATTTTGGCCCTGAAACAACTTCAGAGATGATCATTGCTTGTTGCATTTTGCATAATTTTTTATTGGGAGTTGATCCAGATGAGTCAATATTGGAAGAAGTAGATAGAAATATTATGGATCAAGAAGTTGCATATCAAGAATATGCTAGTGTATCAACGGAGGCTGATGGAAGACAGGGCCAACTTATTCGGGATGCAATTGCAGCACATATGTGGCAAGATTATCAATTGGGAATTCATTGATTATCTGTACTGCTTTTGGAAAATGGTTTTGACGATTTATTGTATGATTCGCTGTTGGTTTGTTGCTTTGGATGAATATTGTGTGGCTTCTCTTCTTCTAATTCTGTGAACTGAATTATATGGTTTAATTAGACAGTCGCTTTATTGCTTGGATTATTATAGCATGGCAGAGGCACTTGAACAAGATACTGAAAAGACTCCGCATGTGGATGATGATAGCGGAAGTAATGGATATTTCAAATGGACGGATGAAATGGACAAGGTTATGCTAGAAGTTTTGAGGGAATATAAGAACAAAGGACACAAAGATGATAGAAATGTTTCTAAGGCAGCTCATCTTGCTAATGCTTTGAAGGAGAAATACAATGTGAAGTTATCAACGGACAAACTTCAGAATCGACTCAAGACTTTAAAAGTCCACTTGGGTTTGGCTTTGGACTTGCTTACTCAAAGTAGTGGGTTTTCTTGGAATGATGTCACGAAGAAAATTGAAGCAAGCAAAGAAGTTTGAGATGATAAGGCAAAGATATATTTTAAACTTGAATTTATGTTTGTGCTTTTTCTGCAGAACCTCGTTTAGCCTAACCAATACAACTTGTTATGATCCAGAAGAAGAAGGCTTATAATCAAAATTCGGGGCAAGAAACTTCACAATCTGGAACTTCTTCGAGAAATTTATGAAAAAGACAGAGCAATGGGTAACAGATCTGCAACCCCTACCGAAAAATGTGAAGAATGGCAAAAGGAAGATAGAAGTTTCAGTCTCGATGATATTGATGAGCTGAAGAACTCCAAGCTACAAATTTTGAGAAGTCTCCCAGGGTAATCATACTACTAATCCTTCTCCACAGCCTCAAGGTAGTGAAGGGACATCCCAAAGCGAAATGGCAAGCAAATTGTCTAAGGCGAAAAAAAGAATGGCTGAGTTGTCTGATTTACTTGCTACTGAAATGAGAGATGTTAGAGTAGCATTACAGGATATTGTAGGTGCTATCAAGACCACTAATCGTCGAATCAGGTATGAAGAAGAAATAGTTGAAGAACTGATAAGACTTGGATTTGGAGGAGATTATTTGATGGAAGGAACTGAGTTTTTGGTGGCTGATCCAATTCGAGAAAACACTTTTTTTGCTTTTCCCGAAGAAGTCCGTAGGGACTGGTTGCTTAGGAAGCTTGCTCACACTCGCATCATCATCATCCCTTCTTACCTCTGAACCTGCAAATCCGCTGGATTTGCTACTTCTTCTTTTTCTTCAGGGTGATCCAAATTTTATTGCTGTTGAAGGAAGATCTTCCATTTCTATGACCTCTCCTCTTCCTCCTAACACGCACCACGACCAAAAGATCACTACTCATTGAAAAAGAAATTAATTTTTTGTTCCCCAAGTAGTTGATGAAATTGACAAAATTGCTCAAAAGCTGCTCTTGTTTTAACTTTCTTCTGTAAAGTGCTGCTTGTTACTCTTGTAAGGACTGAAGTCCAGTGTTTTTCGTGATTTGGGTTTGGCCAAATGAGCTTCAATGAAAATAATAATTACCGGGGAAAAAATTAAGAAATTGTTGGTGTTTGGGAATTAGGGAAATACCTTATAGATATGGATGTATTCACCGTATAGTTGTAGGTGTTGAGGTCTCAAGACAAATCCATAAGATTCCCTAATCAGAGACAACAATCAATCGAGCTCATATCAAATCAGCATGAATGAAACAATGATAGAGAGCAAATGCAACTAAGAAACAAAGAAATGAAACGGTAATGGAACGAGCGCCTACTCAACAGGGACAACAACATACTCACATGTAAATTTCCCAATTTGAAAGCCCATAGCTGTCTCTCTCTTAAATTCCACTACTTCATTCATACCCGCAAAAATGATGTTACAGAAAGAAACTTCCTATACACCAGTTATTAAAAAAATATTTACAAAATACATAAGTTATAAAAAAATTTCCCAGTCTACACATGTTTTACATTCACCGTCTTTGTCTAAGGCAGTGAATGCAATCACCGTGTTAGACAAACACGGTGAATAAGTCACCGTGTTTAATGAAAGCGATGAAGGAATCACCGTTTTTATCAAAAGCGGTGAAAGGTTTGCCGCACTTTACTTAAACGGTGAAGCATTCACCGTCCTTGTAAACAACGATGAATTTATCATCGTTTTTGTGTAAAGCGGGGAACACCGCTGTAATTTAGGGCGCTGATAGTTGCCCACGTTTCCCACCCCTGGTAGGTGAGAGTTAGGTCACAACCACCTAACGTTCACCGCTTTAGGGCAAGACGGTGATTACCTTCACCGATGCTGACAGACACAGTGAATGCTGACCGATTTTCATATAAATACCCCCCACCAGCAGTTGGAAAAACATAACCCCCCTCCCTCTTCAAATTTCAGCAAAAAAACCGAGCAAAATACACAGAAGCTATTTTTCGGTATGATTTAATTTTGTATTGTTATGTAATGATGTTTTTAGTAGTTATATTTATGTAATGAATTACTTATCGTAGCAAATATGTTATGTTAGTTGGGAATTTATGTTGTTTTTAGTTATGAGATGGAGTAATATTAGTAGTACAATATGGTTTTGGTTAATTTTATTGAAATTAAGCTAATAGTTACTTATTGTAAATTGTATATATGGGTAAATTCAAGAAGTTTCAGCTTATTATTCGGTGGAATGGAAGGGTGACAAACTCTGACATTGGGATTGATTATGAGGACGGTGAATCTACTATGTTGAAAATTGAGTCGCGATTCACGTGGCAAGAACTCTGTGACATTTGTGCAGACAGGGTTTGTACGAACAGACAGACGAGAGTTGGTAAAATTACTTACCGGTATCCAGACATGAGTGCTGGCGGGGTTGTGTACCAAGAAGTTGTCATAAACGATGATGACGCAGTTACGATGATGTTATAGTTCCTAGGCGAGGCGATAACGGGATGCGGCTTGCATAGGTCTATGTTGAAACTCATTCTCACCAGTATTCTTATGATGATGGTTTTGCAGGAGGGTATGGATGGGGTGGTAGTTCAAGCAACTATGAAGGAGGTGGTTATACAGGAGGTTACGAATTGGGTGGTAGTTCAAGCAACTACGGAGGAGGTAGTGGTGCAGGATGGGTGACATCAGAAGAATACCCGCAACGTGATGAACCTGCCCCATTTGTTGAGGCCGGTGGGGTTCAATGGCCTGCCTGGGGCCCAGAGTGGGTTGAAATCGAGAATACCATTCGATCTGGGCGTACTTCACATGAGCGAGAAGACGATGTTGGTGATGGTGGTCATGTTTATCCTTATGGCCCGAGCTATCCATTCGACTTGAGCGACGATGATACCAAGGAAGATTTGAGATCAGTGAGCGAAGAGGAATATACTGACGATACCAATGACGAGGTGGCATTTCGTGAGCCACCGACGCCATACTACACACAGGTTCCAACTCAATTTTTACATAGTCAGAATGATGCCATAGACTAGGGATGGCAATGGGTCGGGTTGGGTCCGGTTTTGCCAAACTCAAACCCAAACCCATGGGTTTATCCGTGAAAAAAACCCGGGGTAAAATCCACTGGGTTTGAAAAACTCAAACCCAACCCAACCCGCTGGGTATCCGCGGGTTCATGGGTACCCACGGGTTTTTGTCGTAAAAAATTTATAATAACAAGTTCCTATCAAAATTAAAGTCAAATATTAATCTCTCCATACAAATTATCTATATTTAAAACACCATTCTAGAAAATTAAAGCAAATCATAAATTAACTATACAAATTGTTCAACACCAATCTAGAAAACTCAAGAAAATTGAAGTAAATCATAAATTATCCATAAATAACATGATTAATTGAAGGCTTCTTCCTTTCAATTAAGTTTCTTCACTCTCCACTCGATAACACAAACTTCATTCTACATAATTAGAAAGAAAAAATTAGACATGTCTCCACAAACATAAATAAGATTAGTTGTTTAAAATATTAAATATACCGAGAAAATTTATTATATGTGTGGGCGGGTACCCACGGGTCAGGTTTACCTAAACCCAAACCCAACCCAACCCGGTGAATAGTGAACGGGTTTAAACCCAAACCCGACCCAAAACCCGTCAACACGGATTTTACCCGCGTTGACCGGGTTGGGTCGGATGGGTACCCGTGGGTTCGGGTTTGGTTGCCATCCCTACCATAGACGTTGTCCTATGCCAGTGTATAATCCGACGACCAATTTGGAGCTGGGTATGGCGTTCACATCGAAGGACGCTGTGCAGGATGCTTTTACCGAAGATGCCATGCGGCGCAATTTCGAGTGGAAGGTAAAATATTCTGACAGTAAACAACTACATGTCATATGCAAAAATGCTGCAGAGGGTTGTATGTGGCAACTACGAGCTGCAAATATGAAGAGAAAGGGTGCATGGGTGATTCGAAAAGCTGAGAAAAACCACACCTGCTCCTCGTCCATACTTTCTCAGGATCACCGGCAACTTAAAGAAAAGAAAGTGGCGAGAACTATTAAGCACCTTATCGAGGCACAACTAGATATCAAGGTCAAAGCTATCATGGCCGAGGTGAAGGATCGACATTCTTACATGATAAGGTACAAAACGGCATGGCATGGTAAGTAGAAAGCCATGGCTAAGGTGTATGGTGATTGGGACGACTCGTATGCTTTACTCCCTAGACTTATGGCCGCTATGGAGGAGTCCAACCCTGAGACTGTTTTCGTGCCTTCTTACAACAATGTATACACTGAGGATCAAGTTTGAATACAGGAAAAGTTGATGTTTCACCGTCTATTTTGGGCTTTCAAGCCATGCATTGACTGTTATCCAGGTATTTTAATTACTAATTACTGTTAGAAAAGTTCAATTTCCCTGCTATGTAAATTTCATACTAATTAGATCGTAATTCTCAATTAGGTTTATGGAACTTTCCTTACTGGGAAGTACAGAGGCACTCTTCTCATTGCCACTGGCGTTGATGGAAATATGCGGCTTTTTCCACTTTCATTTGCATTAGTGGAAGGGTAGAATAGCTTAAGTTGGGCATGGTTCTTTGACCAACTACACGAACACGTCACACAGCGGTAGGGTATTACGATTATATCTGATTGGCACGCGGGGATTAGGAATGCTGTGGGTGGTTTTCCTGACGAATGGGGATGGACATGGCGCTGGTGTATTCGACACTGGCTTTCCAATTTCCAGCACAAATTCGGGAAGAAGAAAGACATAAGAGATCAAGTGTGGCATGCAGGTACTAATGCCTTTTAATCCGAGTTAACTATGTATTTAATAACTTTTATTTATTATGTATTGACCATTTAGTTTTGTTCACCTTGCAGCGGTTGCACATCAACCAAAAAAGCACGAGCAGAAGATGAAGACGATCCGTCAGGTCTACCGAGCGGGAGCAATATGGGTTGAAGGTCAAAACTTGCACATGTGGACGTTCAATATGGAAAACGGGGCCAGATTCGGCATTGCAACTACCAACCATGGAAAAAGTATAAATAGAGTGTACAAGGGCCTTCGAGCGATGCCTGTTTCTGTCATAGTCGAGATGTCATACTGGAAGGTCAACGAATGGCGCGTGAATCGGCTTCAGCTAGCTATAGGGAGGGAGCTCTCTAGTCATGCGATAGCACATGACGTCTTTGATCAAATGCAGAAGAACGAAGAAAAATCAAGTAAGCATAAAGTTGTTCTTTTCGACCGCAGTGAAGGTATATTTGCAGTCGAAACAAGTATATGGGGTGGAGGGAGACGTGGCCACAATCATCAAACCGTTACTCTACACTTAGAAAGCCTAACCGGGGAGTGTACGTGTGAAAAGTATCAAAACACAAGAATACCCTGTTCACATGCAATGGCAGTAGCTAAGTCAATAACCATGAGCCCCCATAGTCTGGTGAGTCCTTACTTCACTGAACAGGCGATAAAGAACTCATATGATGCAACTTTGAGCCCCATGCCAAATGAAGCGTATTGGCCTATATACAATGGGAAGTTGATTATCCCACTGTTGCACCTAAAGCGCACAAAGGGTCATCCTAGGACTGAAAGGATTCACAATGAGATGGATCAAGTGGAACGCCCGAGGTGAGGGCCGAAGCGATGCTCCAAGTGCAGACAACCTGGGCATGACAAGAGGCGTTGCCCAGGACAACCTCTCCAGTATGATGCGGAAATTAATCAGGACCAACCTTGAAAGTGATCTATCTATCTTAATTTTCATTTAAATTTGTTTCTTGTTTAATGATTGTAATGATATTGGAATGATGATCTATGAGCAGTATGTTGGAATGAATGATGACCAAATGGAAAGTAGAATAAACATAGATCATTGATTATTAGAGGCGAAAACACAAGACATGAATAGAGAAAAAAAACATGGATAGTTTAAAGACAATGCAAGCTCAAACCACAAGATCGAGAAACACAAAACAACATGGATAGTTCACTGCAATGACATAAAGATAATACAAACAAAGAAAGTATGAGAATTTCACTGGTTGGCTTCATTTGGTTCCCCCTCATTTTGACCCCCATCCTTTCCTCGTCCTCGTCCTCCACGTCGTCCTCGACCCCTTCTTCCGCCATCTTGTTAGAACTCGATAATCGAGTGATATCTAGGGAATTGGATGGAAGGATCAACTAGGGATTGATCCGGTGATTTAGAAATGAGAAGAGGGGTGAATTTGGGGTTGATCGAAGAAGAACGAGGAGGAAGGTGGAGGCTGGCCGCGCGACAGCCAAGGGAGAGGGAGAAGAAGGTTTCGCCAGAGGGTAGGGAAAAGAGAGGGATAGGGAAATTAGGCAAATAGGTTTAGGTTTAATCTTGATTACCTCATCTAAGTAGAACAATAATTTAAATATCTAAACACAATTACCTACAACTACCCCAACTTATTAATCCCTGAATTATCCCACATTAACCAAATAAACCCCAACAAATAATTAAAGTCAAACATAAACCGAATAATTATAATTTCCATCACATCTCTCCCTCCTTCTTGGCGGGCTCGCTGAACGACAGGTCGCGGATTTCTCTTAACTGGAGCCCCAATTGGAGTTTGTATAGGTGGTGGAGCTGGTGGGGGCTGAGATGGACCAGTAGTCGAGTGGTAGACTGGTACCTGAGGGGTTTGCTGCTGTGGGGTATGATACATCGGAGTCTGTTGCTGATGGTGGAATTGAGGGAACCCTTAGGGGAAAATGTACGGTTCCTGAGATGGAGCATTACTTGATGACCCTCCAGCGACCTCCGTTTCAGATGCCCACTGGTATTCAAATGGTTCAGGTAGTTCGGTTTCTTGAGTTGTACGCAGCTCTTGAAATTGTGGCAGAGGCTTGCATTTGCTCTTTCGTGGGGGCTCGGCGGGGGGCACAATGCGCTCATCATCACGAAATGATGTGCGGGCCGGGGCAGGAAGTGGAGGATATGCCACGACATCCCTCCTTCCATCCCGGTTACAACTCAGGAGGTTGTTCATAAGCCTTCGTAACCAAG